GAGTTCCCACAGCTATTCATTACATTACTCTGCAAGTGGTCTGCATGACCCACACTTAATAAATGTGTAACGTGTGGTTATCTAGAGAAAAGATTATTAATTATGAAATTGCTTACACATAATTATAAAAATAAACATTATAGATTAAAAAGTATTAAAGTTGTTAGTAAAGAAAAAAAATTATAAGTCTTATTTCCACTATCCTTTGTACTATCCTTTCAAATAATAATTCACACTATAGATGAATGTATATTTAAAAAAATATACATTCTACATACTGTAACAAGAAAATTAATAAAATATATTACATACATACGCGTACACACACACACACACACACACACAAATATATAAAATATATATAAAAGCTCCCTTTTATTTATATATATATATATATATATATATATATATATGTATATATAAATGGGAACTTTTGGGATCAAAAATCTTTCTTCTACAATATTTATCAGCATTGATAAATATATATAAAATACTGACGTGAGAGACAATTATATAAGGTAAAGTACAAAGTTATACGATCCAAATATTCTCAATTATACATATAAAGTATATTATGTCATATTAAGTTATCAAAAACAATATAATTCAAAACGTCCATATTTCTTTCACTAGGGGTTATTCCAGTTTTTATCTCACAAAATCAAACGAGTATTTTTAAAAAATAAGATTATGTGGAAAAATTTTGTAATATAGTAAACAATTTGTGTCATGAATTTCATTTTTTTTTCTTGTAGCGTGTTTAGTATCAAAGTGTTATCTTAAAATTTTCTAAAAATCATGAAATCCATGAAACCACATGGAGCATCGCGAGCACCATGAATCGTAGCAAATTTAAATGGCATTAACCGCGTTCTCGATTTTATGATGTTGACATATCTTTCGCGCGAACAGCATCTGTTGCTGATAACATTACCGTCCTTCTCCTCACTTCTGAAACTCTTAGCAAAGCATTTAGGTTTAGGTTTTACGAAAAATAATTTCTCACCAATCTTGTGCAAATCTCGTGTAAATGAACGATCAGCTGTGCAGAATGTGAGTAAGGCCAGCAAATTTGTAGTTTCGTATCGTCTCGCGAAAATACAAGTACGAAAATGCAGATTTGAAGGTTATGAGAGGACACATTCAGTGTTCATCCACTTCCTTGGATTTTTATCTTTTCTTCTCTAGTTAGAATCACTTCGATGTGCCAGTACACGCCATCACACCAACCGCATGTATACATACATACATACATACATTCATAATACATAATGTCCTAGCCTATCGTTACTTCTAGAGAGTTTCGTTTCAGCATAAAGTCTTTAAGCCTTTAAAGGTAGTATTTCATACTGATGCTCGATCGCTCGATATTCGTTTTTAGCATTAAAATAAGCCACGCGGATGAAATTGATGCATATCAAGCATTAATTTTGATCAAGAGATCTGTTTTGATTCGAAATTAGTGTCGAAGGTCAGCATGAAAACATACCTTTACTTTCTCGCGTGTGCGATTATCAATTATCTCCGTCAGAGAGAAACTTGTCAATTATTAATGATGCTCTTTATATTGTATAATATTTTTTGGGTATGGTCAAACGTATGATGCTGCAAACGCTTTGAAGCGTTTTTTAACTGGTCAGTTTGTAAAATTCTTTTTTCTAATTGGTCCATCAAATGCTTCAAAGCATTTGTAGCGAGACTTTGACCACAGCCTTTGCCTCGCTTAACCGTTGTGATTTCAATGAATTTCAAGTCCATGTATTCCACAAACGAATAAATGGAATAATCGAAATTAGACATTAACCAAAAGGATTATATAGGAATTTTTTTTTTATTAATATTTTAAATTAATGAGGGAGCGGTGCATTTGCATACAATTCAATTGCACGCATCACTCACATCGGCCTGTTCCTAGTAATTTTTCACTGCTTCATCTATGAAATTATATTGGGTCATCTAAAAAGTATCCGCGGTTTTTTGTCACTAGATGTGTGTTGATGGTCATATATCTAGTGACAAAGTACCGCGGATACTTTTTAGATGACCAATATATTAAATTAGCCAATTAGTGATGTGAACAACTGATTGTGGGATATATACTCAATTAGAGATCTATCGAATTGCGCATGCGCAATTTCACTTTTCTCTAAATAACATTATACAATATTAGTGGTCTATTTTCTGTTCCTGCACTAGATTGCACTAGAGATCCTAGAAATAAGTGTCCGGCCAATGATGTCTCCATTCTCATTGGTTAGGAAAGGATATGGCGTAACCAATTGCTGTTGAAACTTTTTTTAAGCACAAATTGAATACGATGAAACGAAAAAAAAAGAAAAACTTTTAATTTACTTATTAATAATTAAATTATTTTATTACAACATATAAAATACATAGAATGTAAAATTATAAAGCAATTATTTGACTAAAGAATTGTCACTGTTTTGCTACTAAAAGTGTTTCGTCGCAGACGTTCTTTCGGACAATTATCAAATTAAGTAATGAAAAATGTTTTACCTTCCATAGGAGGGTTAGTTAGTACGCTTTTATCCTGTGGATCATAGTGGAATCAAAAAGATGAAACATTTCGAAGGATGCATAGTAGTCAGTGACATGCCGATAGCATTTGATTAGTCAAAATTCACTCTCTCCTTGCCTTCCATGCGCAATGTTTTCTGATTCTATAATGCTGTGGATGTAGTACAGACACGAACCACATCTACTTTCGATATGATTTTATCGATAGTATCAGAAAATGTATGTAGTCATAGTTTTCAAATTGAAAATGGATGTACTGTGCAGTAGTGTATAGGCAAACAGGAAAAAAGCCGACTTCTCTTAGGTTTCTCTCTATTCAGGGTTCGATTGTGTATCTTTTTAGGGCGAAAATGTGAAGTGAAAATTTTTGTATGCATGAGTATATATATATATATATATATATATATATATATATGTACATACATCATACATAAAATTTTCCACTTTTTACGTTTTCATTCTAGGCCCGCGATCCGATTCACAACGCTTAAAAATTATTTCATCCTTGTTGTTTGTCAAATGTTAAACGGAGACAAATACTGGATGTTCATAAGCGTTGCAGCATGAATCGGACCATAGCCTAGAGAAAAAGTTACACGATTGATATCCAGAGGGCAGTAAAATAAATATTGTATAAATGTAAAATTTTAGGTTAACAATTTGTCGATATCTAATTTTATTCAATACTTTATGATAATTTTATTAAACTTAAAAATCATATCTTTTTGGTTATACTAAAATATATCTACATTTTGTATGTACATCAAAATATGTAAAAGGATACAGAAAGGATAACATTTAGAGATATATATATGTCTCTATTGTATAGATAAATTTATATTTGAATACATATGACAGTAACCAAAGATAATTTTTTCTGACTTAGCACGCAGTCCAAAATCATATGCTAAAAAAATGACTACGTTTCATATTTGAACACATTACAAAGTAGTATTAGTGCTCTGCAGGTTTTCCTGGATCGTTCTCTAGTTGTACCTCAGGTGTATGCGGCCAAATCGTCGGTTTATTAGGATTTATAGCAATATCTGGATAAGCGTCATAAAAATCTTCCATCGTCATTTCAGAGAATGGCAATAAATTCTTTACTCTATCGATTTCTTTATTGGCAGTGGCGATGTGTTGATTCGACTCGATGATAAATTCTTCGATATTTATATGCTATAATATATCCTTAATTTAGAAAAGAGCTTAAACATAAAATGCAAAGTAAATGTCATAATATAATGTAAATGCTGTACCATTTTCTTTTCTTCAGTTTCAATTTCAGAAGTATATTTATCCACTGGATATGGCACTGTGATAGATTCATATTCCTTTTGAAACTTATCAACTAATCCAACTATTGGAATATTTTTCTTATAGTATGCCCAATCGATTTTTGGAGGAACTTCTGGATTCGCACTCATTCTATAGATGGAGAAATATAAAGAGAAACAAAAAAAAATATATATATATAATTAATACACACACACACACATATTTCTATTTACAGTATATTCTTTAACGTATTGTAACAAGGAAACATTGTTTTTTATATTTATTATTCCAAGGATGATACTTGAATAAAATAATTCCGTAAACATTTTATAAAAGGCTAAACGTACGATTGATACTATGTCTCAACAGATGTTTTAACAGATATATGGTACAAAGTGAATGTGAGGTTATTCCAACAAGAACAGAGTTTGTGTATAGACAGGTTAAATAATTCTTGGCAAATAGAGAAACTTTCATCCGAAATAATAAATTCTTTCGCGTACACAGTGTGCGTACATCCAATTAAAATATTTAATTGTTATCAGAAAGAGATTCTAGACATATTATATAATGACTTGTGTGCAACATGAATCAAATTCGGAAGAAAGTGATATGAAGAGTGACTGACCGTCGCAAATACTGATCAGATTTAGATTTGAAAGCGGCGAATGCAGGTTTTTCCGTTTCTGGAATTTTTTCGGCAAGCGCCGACCAATTGATCGTCTTAATCGCCCTGCGTGACATATCTCGTCGCGTGTTTTACTACACTGATGGATGCAATACACGTACTACTTGCACGTAAATATATTCTCTTTCGTCTGACTCGCCTCTCTCGTATTCTTCGATCAAACCAATTTCTTGAGAGAAGCGGAGACGACTGAAGATAAATGGTAGCCGGACAATGCAGTAATACCAACAAAATAAAATAAAACCATATCGATCGAGCACACGTAATCGCGAGAGCGATGTTAAGTGTGAACTTCTGTGCATACATATGTATGTATGTACACGTATGTAAATTGAATTATCAATGCCTCTATGACATCCTAAACTGTCAGTAAAGTCAGTTTAGGATGGATGTGAGAAATAACCGCAGTGGATAGAAATGATGTGTTGTCTGAAGGTAAATTAAGTTGAGAGAAGTCGACATAGGAAGATAAGGAATGAAATAAATTAAAACATATATGCAGAAAGTAGGAATTGCGCTTGATCGCGGTATATCGAAATTCGAAGGTAGTAACAATTCGATTCGTTATTTATTCTCTCATTCGATCTCCGTCCAAAGTCAGTGACATTAAATATTGTATATTAAAATACATGGAAACTCTCATTGAGAGGAGATTCATTTATGTTTTTTTCGATACGCCGCCGATAGGCAAGAATGGAGTAATCGCGGTCATAAAAGCCGAGTCGGGCCGGTGTTGAATAGTCGAATCACGGTTCACAGTGTTGACGGTCTGTATCACCACGGATGGTGGGATTGGCGGGATTGACGGGACTGGGGACTTGGGGAGCGTAAAGCGTTGCGCGTTGCGTCTCTCTCAGCTCTCGCGGCCGTGCCGTCCCGTCCGTTCCGTGGTAGTCCGTGGCCGACGGCCGTCGGTTGTGGGATCGATAAAGTAGAATGGAAGAGAAAGGGAGAGGGAGAGAGAGAGCGTGTACGAGAGTGAGATGACAGGGTGGGTGAAGTGGGTGGAGTGTGGAGTGGGCGGCCGTGGCCCGTGGCGGTGGCGGTGGCGGTGGCGGTGGTGGCGGTGCGGCGGTGAGCATAAAGAGGATAGGATAATATCGGTGCGCGTCCTCCCGCGGCGCGGCGGAGGTGTCCTTTACTCCTTTTCGCCGTTCGCGGAGCTTTGTTTCCGAATTTCTGCCTTCGTATAATCGTACCATATCGTATCCCAGCCTAGCTCTCGTAGCCGCGATCTGTACGATGTAGTTATTAGTAGTTATGCCGCAGCAGG